CAGCAAAACAAAAATTAAAAAAAACTATCGCACGAAGACGTTGGTACCTCGTCCCTCGAAAGGCACTACTGACGGATATATTTAGATTAAAGATAGTCAGAAAAAACTAGAACTTTTTCACTAAGGGATTTGCGTAATTAATGATAATGTGCTTTTTAGGAATACCGGGCAAAACTTCTATCGCTCGGAGTTCCGTATTTATAACGAACCTTTTTCCAACCCTTTTGGGTCCATCAGTGCTTACGATAACCTGCATTGGTTCAAAGAGGCTCATTAGATGGCCGGATTCCTCATCACATAATACCCATAGCGGGAGCGTGACAATATGTAGAGATAGAAAACAGCAAAGGTTACCAGGAAATATTCGTGTCCTGGTATTTTATTCCTCCCCGCTATTTTGTACAGCTGCAACAGACCCCAGAGAGACCGCCATGTGCATTCATAAATCACGTGGTTTTTCTACGATTGTAGCTCGTATCTTACAGCGTTACTCATCAAAGTACGGGAAACCCGAGAGGAGGCCTTCCCCATCCTTCCCTGTCTGAGGGTCCATTCCATGTTGATTGTATATCGACGAACCATACCGCTCTCCATCTTTGTACTTTGTCACCGCCAATTGGTACTTTGACCATGCGGCGGCTTTTGTCACAAAATAGTCATCCGGGTACTTTTGCTTCACCATCGAATCTAACTGCAATCGATAACCTCGAGGATTTCCATATTTGTTTTTCGCGTTCTCGTTGTGGACAACTAAGTACTTAGGATGATCGAAATTGTAATTGAGTAAGGCTTGTTTCTCTGTTTTTTTCGTGTTACGGACAACCTGCTTCTTTATCAAGTAGCCAACGTCATTCCAGGGCACGCTGACGTTCTTTGTTTGGACGTCGAGAGTCTGGTAACTATTTTTGGTTCCCACAACGTCTAGGTCAGCCTTAAACAGGATGATATGATCGTGAATAGTTCCCTGTGTCCGGGGCAAAGATTCGTATGCATATGGAACCTCGGTCGGGTAATAAGAGCTGGCGATAATGTAACCAGATGTACTCATTCTCGTTTCCACGGCACCAGTTTGGTAAAATATAAAGTCAATGATATAATCATAGTTGAATGGAGTTAGGACTGTTCTAATAACAAGAGCGCTATCAACCAGACCCGCTACGTAGGAAAAAGACCACGCACTGTCGAAGCCAATGTGCCTTCGAATGGGAATTCCGTTGTTGATCTCAAAAACGCATATCGACTTTGGATGCTTCGCAGCATTTGCAGTGTCTACAAAATGGTAGCTGTCAATGAAAACAGCCTCTTCAGGACAGTCAATACCCTTGATTAGCTCATTGTTACTTGATCCGATACGAAAGAAAGAGTCAAGGAACTGCGCATTACTTTGAGAAGGATCGTTAGCAGAATAAAAAGAAGTTGCTTCTTGCATGCTTAGTTCGTACATTATTCGGGAGTTGTTAAAACGAATATCGTAAAGCGCGGGACCCGCAGAAGAACGCATTCCAACGTGGAAATCCCAACCCATGTAGCTTATCTTTCTTCCTGCTATCTCAAAGCGCCTGCCTTGAGGACTGACCAAGGTTGGCTCTCGCATTGGTGATTTCAGGAATGATTTTCCCCGCCGACGAAGAGATGCTGCCAGGCTGAAGTCATTGGAAAAGTTCAGAACTGTCTTGTTGATGGTGCCTTGCCTATACTTCTGAACCAATTCAGTAGCAGACTTAAAATATTGGTTGTGGTAGTAGATCTAGAAAAGAAAATTCCATAATGTGTAAACCATTCCTTATGACCCCGTTTACACTACAGAAAGATGAACAGAACTCTTTGGTTCCGTTCTTGTTTGTGCACGATACCTCTTTTTCATCGCTTTGAAACTGAAGCAAAAAGGAACGGATCCAAATTTGGGCCCGTTTACACTTGAGCAAAAAAACGGAACTTTCACGAGAATTACACGCAGTGGCGTGGCAATGACATCTGTCATTTTCAGAAAGCCTCGTCCCAACCCTAGCTTAAGCCCCGTTTTCAATCGCAACCAAGTAGTGTAAATGCAAGGGCTATCGTCGCTTTTAGGCACGGAGCCAAAGAGTTCTGTTTTTTTTACTGTAGTGCAAACGGAGTCTATGTTAACACTTTTTAATATAGATATTTTCACGACCAGGGCTTGTTTGGTTACATGTTATATCCTAACCATGTCTACTTAGTACTGTGTGCCTCAGTACTTATTCCATGCTCAAATTGTCCTCCAAGGAAACGGCACTTGTACTAAATGAGAACAATGAGTTTGCTCTGAATAATGATTTTAATACTTGATTCTGGAACTAATCATGCCTATAAATGTCGGGAAATGTCTGACTTTATCGTGAACAAGCTTGGACGTACTGGTCTGTAGATATAAAGTAAATCATTTCCTAAATGTATGATTATACCATCAAATATTTTGTAATCTTACACAATCCATAAAACTGGCCGATTTGTTTAAAGGCCAGTTTCTACTTGATTTGCTTTGGTCAGCGAAAAAATTTTAAAATGTCGACATATATTGAAAAATTTCTGCTGCTAAACAAGGGAAATCAAAAAGCTTATTAATTAATTCAGAATGCAGAAAATGTTGCTGGCGCTGCGTTGTAGTTGCACTTGTGATATTTGCGCAGTTGAAGTCAAAATTGGTGATGTCACTAAGTTGTTTTTACATGAAGTAATTACAAAATATTTAGGCCTACCGTGGCGTGAGCAGTCAATTTGTTGTTCAAGAATACCCAAACCAGTTCTCTCTTACACTAAAGATCATCACAAACGTCGCTACATGCCACAATCTTGCCTCTGCTTAGTATTTTGCATAAAGTTTTATTCATGTATGAAATTCACGAAACCGTTCTTTTATTCTTTTTTTGTTCAATAGGCCCGTGGTAGTCATTGTCCTTTGCTCCTCGGGGTATCGTCCTGTTAGTGTTTTAGAGTATTTTCCTGTAAGTAATGTATTTCGTAATATGTACTTGCAAATATCTATTGGACTGTATCAAAGAATCCACGGAGCAATGAATTCTTAGAAGGCCTTGAAAACCAAATCTCGATTCCTTCTAAAGAGATATGGCTGTTTTGAGAAGATTTTTTGACAATTGGAACGTTTATCGGGGGTTATTCAGTTTAACTAAGTGAGAAAGCTAAATAAACAGAGCCTTATTTTCTGGATTCTTATAGATGGTCCCCTTAAATCAATGTTGCCGAAAATGCGATCCAGCTAGAAACAGCAAATGCTTATGGCTAATTTTGGCTCATTGCAATCTTTCTTCTTGTTCTTGGGCTTGCAAAGCCATTGTTGATACATAGGGTTGTCCTTCTATACACTACAAGACGATGCTCAAAAGCCCGACAGTGCCAACGCAAACTTTTCCCGCTTCGTTTTCCCTGGTGCTCAAATAACAATATCCATAAAAAAAGAGAAGTGCCCAAAAAACAATTGGGAAAAGGGCCTTTAGAGCTACAATGCGCGTATCAGCCCAAACGCTCGGGTCGATCCCATAGAATTTTTTGTGCCCGATTTCGCTGCCCACATTTGGATGCCCACTTCCAAAGAAAAGAGTAAAAAAACTTGGCACAAAACCCGTTATGATAGGCTTCTTAAGCAAAAAAGGACCAAAAGGGGTCCATCTTTCGAGGTAATTTCCAGAAGACCTACCACGCGCCCAGATGTCCACCCTCGTTTTTCTGACTTGCCTAATGATGTAGTTAACGATTATGAAGAGTGGATTTGGGCACAAAAATGTCTACGGGATCGACCCCTGCGTATGGATTATATGCATATGATGCACTTTCTCCTTTGTTAAGACTTTTTTATTGGAGGGAATCTCCACTGACGCCTGCGCATTAAGCTGATAAAGCCTCCTATCGCTATCGATATGATTATCGTCGCCAATGCTTAAACTGCCTAATGATAGCCCTAAACAATAGCAATCTAGAATCGTCATCCAAAACAAGTATTGATGTTTCTTGTAAATGGTCGTGTTTGACTCGCACTTTAAAAACTCCTTGATTTATTTCTCATCGGAAAATTGCCCCGAATTTTATTCTGTGTCCTCAATTCATAACGGCAACCGAGCAACAAATTCAAAAAAGGTGCATCTTATTACAAATATCGAACCTCTCAAAACAGTGGAAAATACGAAATATCGTCCTTGATCTTTCTCTTGAACTAGATTGTTTCTCTTACCTGTTCCACTTTCCAACTGTTGACGTCTCTATCTGCGTAGCTGACAAGGACCTGGAATGGAACTGGATGCAGGTCATAGCCATCAATGTCCTTATAAAATAACATCCATGTTTTCCTGTTTCCGGTACGAAAAGCTGCTGGAGCTCCGATAATATGTGGTACCAGACAATTCTCTGAGCAGTTGTCTCCATACCACAGGTTAAAGCTTTCTTTCAAAACAAAGTAGCATTCCTTGGTCGCTTCCTTTAAGATTTTGGAGATCTCCTCATCTTCCTTATCGAACAACGGCCTTGATGAAAAAGGAACTGGATTGGCCCGGTGTGCAAGATACAATCTTTGATGTGTGGATGGTGTTGGCAGAGGACTAACGAGGTATTCTTCGACATCTGGTGAAGATTTCCCACCATTAACTATTATCACCCTTGCTCTTCTTGCCGGCATTTTGCCGTTGTTATCCAAATAATCAAGGACATCTTTCTTGTTTGGCAGGTAAAGTTCGATGAGATAAATGAAGTTTGAATCCATTGTCGACTTTCCATGGGCAGTCAGATTTAAGGAAGATTGCTTCATTAAATAATCTCGGACAGCATGAAGTTCATCTGGAGATAAATCTTGGAAGACAGAAGGGTTTTTGGGGAGGTTTGTGTCCTGTTTGTAAGGAGAACTGCATGACGGTCCTTTGGAGGGGGCTGCCTTGCTAGAGTCATCGGCAGTTGCTTTGGTAGCTACGATGCAAAGAGCTATCACAAGGGCCACGATGAGGGCGCACAAGGCTGCCACCAATACCTTCCATGATGCTGGCACTCCTGGCTTTCGATCTATTGAAAAAAAAGCACAGATCAAAAAACATATGCATGATGATTATGATTAGAAATTGCCTTGGTTTGCTCTTAGTCTAGCCAATTAAAGTTTAGCACTGTTCACAAATTTAGTGGCTTCGAGTTTTACTATTTAGTATTTACTATTTTCTAATTTGTTTGTGTTTAGGTTCTTTCTTAAAAGGTATCCCACTTTCTTTTGAAAACAAGACAGAAACACGTACCAGAAACATTCTCCCGAGCTTTTGGGGCTAGCCCCAGACTAGAAGAGGACGCATCAATTAAGTGCTTCATATGGCCCGACTATTCAAAGGAAGACTGCCCTCTAACTGGTCAATCTGCACAATTTTGCATTTCTTTGGGGCTAGATTGAACTAGCCCTTATAAATTCAATTCAACGATATATTTTTGTATGCTGCTGCGATAGGCTCTCTATCTTGAAGTGGAATACAGCCGGGGACCAAGCAGAGTGGCGTTAATTCGTCGACTCGCATTTCCAGCTTAAATAGTTTAAGAAAACTGAGTAAAGTCTGCATCAGAATCCATTTTGCCGATCGTCAAATACAGCTCAAATTGGGAACGTTAGGCCGTTGGCCTTCTTCATCCAAGGTAAACCCTTATCACACAGAAGTCTTCTGATGGCATAAAATAATTTGTCCTTCACAGCATATGACAATTAGAAGGGAGACGTTTTATTCTGATGAAGCCCTGAATGACGGGGCGAAATATTAGTATTCATTTAATTTAATTTATTAATAAAAATTTATATTATAACATTGGATTCTCGTCGCCGTTTTGTTTTGTTCCTAAATTTTATCCTCGTATTTATATTCTACTCATTGCAAGATTCACAGAATCCAGCGGATAGCCTATCCTGCGGTTCTTTCTTCTCACGCAAACTTTTTATTCTTGGCCTTTGAGGTTCCTTGCTTTAAATTTTAAATATTACGTCATCAGCCCAACCAGAAAATTTCCCAGCAGCCGCCACTGTAAGGTAGTACCTTCCCTTAATAAAAGATCCGATATCAAGGAATCAAATTAATCACGTGTACAGTTGTTAGCATGTTGTTATACACTGTAGGTTTAAGAAAACACATGCCAACATTCCAACGTTCCAACATCCCAGCATTCCAATATTCCTCATTCCCTGCTTTCAAGATAGCTGAGATAAATGTCCAGTCGCACTAAAACAGGGAATGGGGAATGGTGGAATTGAATTATTTTCTCAGCTTAGGCAATGATTTTGTTAGCCCATTCTTTACTGGACGAGAGTCAGTGGCGGCGCCAGCAGTTACAGAGTGGGAGGGTAATGGGCGTGGCCAGTGTGACCACGCCCTGTTTGCCTCTTTCCAGTGATTCGTCCCTTTCCTTGGGAAATTTGATCTTCCCCTACCCAGCGCTTTTTAATCCATTTTTAGAAGAAATATATAGACCATATTTTCAGAAAAGTGGGGAGGTAATTACCCCCCATACCACCCCTTGGCGCCGCCACTGATGAGAGTGTGAGGCTCTTTTAATTGTTGGAATTTCATTCCAGGTTTTCAAGCAGCCTTGGGATTTGGAGATCTTAGGTATGTTAACATTGGAGATCTAATAGCCTGTATCGTAGCTGCTTATTGGTGTTATATCAGTAAACTTATTGTTCAGACACTCGGGACATATTTTCTTAGTTCACTTAAACATCAGAACCGACTTAGGAATCCTGGAAGTACCAGACCCTAAGATCCTAGGACCTCTGGGTCCCTAGGACCCTGAAGTACTGAATACAAAAAGAACCCTTAACTATGAGAGATGCCACTTCTTCTGCACAGCTTGACGGCTGTCATTATGGACACGTAGGACCCGGGCGCATTTGTATCGAAGTTAAATGGGATTATCTTTGTCAAACTTGAAAATCGAGGCAAGCTTTTTACACTTCGACAAATAGCGTGGGCATTTCCATTGTCACGAGTAGCTTCAAGGCAAGTTGACAAATCCAGCCAGAACGAGTTTTGCTGGGCGCACTGGAAACGTTACATAGCAGATTAATATCTATTGTTAAAAGACAATAGGTATTACATTTGTCATGTTTAAAGTGCTAGTGCGCCCGGGCCCTAAGTACTGAATATTGAGAGGAACGACTTCCGCACAGCAGGTTCCAGTTAGAGCTGTCATTATAGCAATTCGGTAGATTATTTGCTGTTTATTTTTGATGAATCTTTTTTGGCTATCTTGATGTAACGATAAGGGTCCTTGACATGACGGTGAAGAACCAGTTAATAACCAAGCTCGTAAGTGGAGCGATGGGCTAACTGGCAAAAATTTAAGTGAACTCTTCAATTAATGCCGGGCAGGCTAACTGAACCTGGGTCTATAAAAAATTAAACATTTCAGAAAACTCCATCATATAAGAAATTCCAAATTTTCTATTAACCTCTCATAACCTAAAAAAGTCATTCTTTTTTTAGCTTCGACCCAATCCATTTTATAACCACATGCTATGACGTTTATTTAACCTCAGTTTTGATGTAATCCATGATATTTATTATTCGTAATGGAACATCTCAAGGCCCCACATTCCTAAAATGGGGCCCTTTTTACCAGATTTTAAAGGGGGCCCACCGGCCACAGGCCGATGGGCCAGTGGGCCAGTCCGCCACTGCCGGTGTAATATGCGTTTCGGTACCCTATGCAAAAGTGTAACATTGTGAGACACAATGTGTTTCAAATCATGTGATTTAATCGTAGTGCGATGTCATGACACGTTATGAGTAACAAATTGACCAAAATGCTTTTCGAGTTTAAAATCTTACACTTTTCAATCAAGCAAACTTTGGAGTCACCATTAATGTTGTACTTTTTTGCATAAACGTAACAAGGGATATCACAACACCGCCTCTTATTAGCACCCCCTTTTTTAAAAATAGTTCGGTTGCTCTTTACATTCTGGAAAATATGAACCAGAACATTTCTGTACCCAGGTCAGTTCACATGCTAAATTCCACCATTCGTTTTGGTATCCAATTGTCTTAATGCTTGGGTACATTTTTCCAAAACCAAAATTGTCATGCGTTTGTGTACCCGGACCGTTTTGCATGCTAAATTCCACCATTCGTTTTGGTATCCTATTGTCTTAATGCTTGGGTACATTTTTCCATAACCAAAATTGTCATGCGTTTGTGTACCCGGACCGTTTTGCATGCTAAATTCCACCATTCGTTTTGGTATCCTATTGTCTTAATGATTGGGTACATTTTTCCATAACCAAAATTGTCATGCGTTTGTGTACCCGGACCGTTTTCCATGCTAAATTCCACCATTCGTTTTGGTATCCTATTGTCTTAATGCTTGGGTACATTTTTCCAAAAACCAAAATTGTCATGCGTTTGTGTACCCGGACCGTTTTGCACGCTAAATTCCACCATTCGTTTTGATACTCTATTGTTTCAAAGCTTGGGTACGTTTTTGCATAACCAAAATTTTCATGCATTGGCGTACCCGGACCGAAATGCATAAGGTTACCGAAACGCATATGACACCGGCAGCCATAAATTTTCCCCACAAAATCTGCTTTTTTGAAGATTGGGGGGGGAGGTGCAGCACCCCCATACCCCCCAGCAGTTTCGCCCCTGATCTAGATTAACACAAAGCCCTGGCAAAACGACTAAACATTTCACTAAACATTTCATTCACCTTTAGTTTAGCCAAATGTTAAGTGAAAAGTTTAGTCGTTTTGCCACCTTGTTTAATGTTGTTTAGTTGTGTTGAGTGTTGTTGAGCAAAGTTTGATCCTGGTCAAAAAATGTTAAGCGTTGTTTAGTGCTGTTTAGCAAATGTTTAGTCGCTTTGCCACCAATAGAACATTTCTTGTGATCGCACAGGCGCTCTAGCTGTGGAAATCCAAAGGTTTTGGCCGTTTTTCGTTGGTTTTTCTGTCTCTACGTGACCCGAAAAGCCTTTATGAGACGTCTGCATATCTCGTTGTACGCCATTGTGTCTTCCTCAACAGTCAACTTTCTTGTCAATGTGCTAAAAAGTCTTTCTTTCCCCGTCGCTTCATCCAAGTTTTATTTTAAGCCACTGTTTGTGCATGCAACAAAATAAACCAAAAGCAAATTCCTATGCAAGATGCCCTACAACCCAACAGCGTCATAGAAAGCTCGAAGTTCAAAAAAGTTGAGCGAAGTTTAGTGAAAAGTTTAGTGACGTTTTGCCACCCTCGCTAAACTTCGCTAAACTTCACTAAACAAAAGTTGAGTGAAATGTTAGTAAAATGTTTAGTCGTTTTGCCAGGGCTTAATGATAATAGTAACTGGAGATTACAAATTCTAAAACGTTACATTGAAAACATGGAATATGGGATGTTGGAATGCTGGAATGTTGGAGGGTGTTTTCTAAAATCTTTATAACTAACTACATATCGAGAGGAACGACTGCCGCACCGCCAGGTTCCAGCTAGAGCTGTCATTATAGCAATCCGACAGATTACATGATTTTTATTTTCGATGAATCTTTTTTAGCCATCTTGAAAACATGGAATGTGGTATGTTGGAATGAAGGAATTAGATGCTCAACCAATGAGTAAAGCTATTTTCAGCAAACTTGAGCAGATGGTTTTGGACTACAAAGGATGCCTGATAGGTATGGGATATGATGGAGCGAGAGGTGGGGTCCAAATACTCATAAAAGATGAGGCACCAATGGCTTATTATTTGCACTGCTATGGGCATAAACTAAATCTTGTATTGGTTGAAACTGTTAAGGTTGTACCACAAGCTGACGGTTTCTTTTCCCTACTTGAACAATTATACATTTTCGTTAGCAATTCTGTTGTCCATTAAGGCTCTATTTCGCTGCAAAAGGAAATGCATCCTGGAGAGAAAACTCGCGAACTCCAAAACCTTAGTGAGACCAGATGGTGGGCAAGAGCAAAGTCCTGCAGCAACGCTTTACTTCGTTTTAAATGTATCATGAGACTTCTGTGACAGGTCTCACATGAAGATAAAGGTGCACGTGCAACG